GGTGTGGGTCTCTCAAAAAGGCTTATGCACTTTTTTTCAAAGGAGTAAACTCCAGCAGTATTCACAAAAGATCCATAAAGCCTTTTAATGAATGACAGCAGAAATACTCCAAGGTTTGACTGAAAGACACAGAAAAGAGGATAAAGTAACAATAAATCACTGAACTCCAAAAGTTCTACAGAGAAGAAGCAAGTTCCGAATAATACTCAACTATAATTGCATGCTAATTTTCATGAAGAAAAGAGGCCAAGGCAGAGGTAGAAGACGGTACCAAGAGTCTGTAAAGGTAGAGACAAGAGTGATGTAGAATGACTCCGAGTCAGGGGTGTGACTGAGTACCCATCAGGGAACTTCCAAGATCACCTGGGTCTAGTACTCCTGCAGGCCTTGTGTGTCACCCCCTTACTGAGCAGCAGTATCTGTTAAGGTTCCTCTATGCTTTGCTCAGACTGTAGGTGGAGACACCTTGTCTTTGTAGCCTACAATTTTACAGATAGCAAAAAATGGTATCTGAGGAACTATATATAAGAAATCACAGCAAAAGCTTCATCTGACAACATTCTATGAGGCTATGACACAACGAGACTTTAGAGAAAATTGAGAGGAACTGTGTGGACTTTGTGTGGAAGTGATGTGAACCATTAAGACCTTCAGGACGAGCTCCAACCTCCCAGACAATCCTTATCCTTTTATATTAGTCCTACCCTGTGCCTGAATTCATCCCTGTGACCAGTAGACTCTGGTACCAGTGGCATTATGTCACTTCTGAGATTAGATTCTAAACAAGGCTTCCATCTTACTCTCTCCTGACTCATTCATTCTGGAGGAAACCAAGGGGTCACATCATAAGCCACCTTAAGAAAGGGCCCCTACGGTGATAAATGGAAGCCTTCAGGCAGCAGCCACATGAGTAAGCCTGAAAATGGTTTCTTCAGCTCAGTCAAGTTGTCAGACAGCTGCACCCCAGCCAAAACATAGACTGAAACTACACAACACACTGGAAGTCAAAACTGGTCAGCAAGTTGCTCCTGGCTACCTGGCCCCCAGAAGGTACACAAATGATGAATGTTGCTTTCTATGCTGACACGTTTTAGAGGAATTTGATGCATTTCCATAGATAATAGTTATTGGTAGTTAACATAGAAAAGTTTCCTTAAAGTCTCGCATTAACATGGTTAAAATTAACAAATGTCATATGTGGTTAAAAGCATGTAGTAGGATGTGGCTTAAGAAGCAAGACACATTCTGAGAAATATGTTGCAGAAGGGTTTTCTTCATGGGAACATCACAGAATATATTTACACTAACAATGCTGGCTACAGCATTACTAGTGAGTATAATGCTATGGGACCATCATCACCTCAGAGACGAATTTTAATAACAGGCATAAAGCATGATAAAGATCTGATGCATAACGCATACAGTTATGTAAAGGATACAAATATACAGAAAATGTCTTCCACATCAAGGTGATGTTTCAATCATGTTATGGCTCAAATATGAAATGTCTCTCAAAGATTCGTGTACAGAGGACTTCATCCCCAATGCACCATTGTTCAGAGGCATGGCCTTTTATACTATTGGTTATGATTTTCAGATGGGCCTTCCCCACCCAGGACCAGGTTGATTCAGTTCAGCTGGGTGTCACAAGTTGACCATCAGTTAATCCACCACACACCTATGACCTATTAGTCTTTGAGGATGTAAAGTTCTTTTACTTTTAACAGCATGTAAATAATATCTTCTAAATTAATTCTTATTGATATGTATTTAACGCTAAAACAACTCTGTAACTGAAGGGAAAAAGAGTGTTCATTTTGTATACTTTCCACACAGGCAGTAAGATGGGGATGGGATTTTAACCCTTTAAATTAAAAGAGCATAAGAAATTTAGGATTAAATAAACACAGAAAACGAGCATTAAGGTTACCATAGCTCCAACACTGGATCCTCAACTTGTAGAAAGTGTTGAGAATATAGCTCAGTGGTAGTGACTTAGCATGTGCAACTCCCTGAGCTCAATCCCCATTACCAATAGAAGAGGAACCAAAAGAAAAGGATTTTCAAATCCAGTATGACAGTCAGGGTGGAGCTCGAGAAAGGAGAGACAGGGGCTATAAGAGCCCAAAATGGTGAATTCTGTGAAGCAAAGTTTCCATTATTTGGGGGATAATGGAGGCATCTCCCTGGCATCTGACTGTGACAAAAAGCTGGAACTGACTGTAACTAAATAAAGCAACAGGAAAGGGAGGGCCTTCTTGTCAGCAATCCTCAGTTTCAGAGGGATGTTTTGACTACGGAGTGAGTAGCACTCACCACTGAGAATCTGGAAGAACTAATCTTCATAGTCAAAATACATCTCTTTGGGCTCCTTTTTAATTTCAGAAAACTCCATCTCCTGCCTCATCCTGACCACACTGGAACCTGGGATCATGGGACCAAGTTTGTTTTTGACCCTGGAACAGATGAGATGTCTTTCTTTTTCATTACCTTCTTTCTGTCTTTCTTTTTCATTTGCATTTGGAACCAGTGAGAGAAGCCAGATGGAAACTAAAGCCCTCTGTTTGTGACTGAACAGGTACACCACAAACAGCAGTGTAAATGTTCCACCCCACTGCCTCCCACACACCCAGACTGCCCCAGACCCCACCCGGAAGGACCAGCTCCTCGTAGGAGGGGTGATGGTTCCATTGCTATGCTCATTGAGCCTAGTAATATTTGCTTAAGAACAACATTTGAATAGAGGCCCCTCAGAAAACTCGCATTTCCATATTTACTAGGGGATTTCTGTTTATTACAGATGAGGCTGAGAAACCATTCTGTACACTTGCCTAGTGAAAATAAGCAGGCTGCTAAAGAGCAGGCCAGTGATCATAATATTAATAATTGTTTTTTAGTATTTACTACACATCAGAACACATGCGGGGCAGGTAAGTTCAGTGTAGATGCTTATAGGAGATGAGTACTATATTCTCCATTTTTCAGATGAGAAAATGAGGGACAAAGAGGTGAAAAAACCAAGCCTCCTCAAGATAGCCACCTCTGGGGATTGGGCAGAGGTGCTTTCTCCTACTGTTAGGAATTCTTTTTTACCATATGCTTATACTTACTGTTCAACTCATGGAACAAGATGAGGCAAGAAAATAATTTTTTAAAAGGCATTTTCAGCTGGATGTGGTGGTACATGCCTGTAATCCCAGCACTCAGGAAGCTGAGGCAAGAGGATTGCCATGAATTCAAAACCAGCCTGGGCCACATAGTGAGATCAAGGTAAGCCTGAACTACACAGTCCATTTAAAAAAAAAAAAAAACTAACTAAAAATAAAAAAGGCATTCTCTTAAAGTCACAGAGATGATGAAAACCTGGCCAACTTGCAGAGCCCCGTTTATTGGCATCTCTCTGCATGGACCCTGCTATTGGAGAGAGGAATCTACAGCCTTTGGTCAACATGTGCAGGGCACCTACCTCTGGGAGTCCACAGCAGGGACCCTGCAGTTATAGAGTGACCACGTAAGTTATCAGCCAAACGGGGTCACTTTTGAAAATAAAACGAAGGTTAATTGGCCCCTGACTTTCCTACAGATGCTAGAACATATGTCCTAATTTTAAGTGACTTTTCTCATGCTTAATAGGCTGTTGTTTGTACTCACAAGTTCCATGGCCGTGAAGTAAACCAATCACAAATCAAAAATATCTGGAAAACACTGCTGTGTACCAAACATGCACAGACTTTCTCTTGCCATAATTCCCTAAAAAGCATAGCATGACAACTATTCCCATAGCATTTGTATTGAGAATGAAAAGTAACCTAGAGATGACTTAAAGGATGCAGAAGGGTGCACATACACTATATAAAATCATTATACCATTTTAGATAGAGAGCTTGAGCATCCTCAGATTTTTGTGTCCATGAGGGGGGGTCATGGGACCAATCCCCCTAACGTACCAAGGGATGACTCTATGGATTGGATATTCCACCCTGGGCATCTATCACTTTAATAAATCCACGGAGAACATTGTGTTTGTTTGTTTGTTTGTTTGTTTGTTTTTTAAGAAAGAAGCTTCTAGTCTCAACTCATGGGTCTGTATCCTTGTCATTCAATTTATGAATCAAAGTTTACATAAAACAAATTCTTTTCCACCATAATTACACAGAGCTGACAGCCATAAATGTGGCAGTCATAACTGAAGTGCTTATCTTGAGTGAAAGTGCTTGGAAACCCCCAGGACTACCTCTTGCCAGGGGCAGGGCAGCAAGCCCAGAGCCACAGATTTGCTCACTAGGTGGCAAAGCCAGCCTTCACAGAACCCCTCTCCGGAGGGTGCCTGCCCTGAGTCAGCGCCTGCTCTACGACTGCGACTTCCACAGCTCCTCCAAGCGCGCAGTTTCCAGTCCTTGGGGCTACGGGAAGATAAAAGCCAGCTTCGAAAGACAACCCGTGCTCCCTTGGCCACGTCATGCATCAACATGCGAACACCATGGACATCTAGGTAAACACTATACCTCGCCTGGAAACGGAAGCTGGACACTCCCGGTGGAGGCAACCTCGTCTGGACCAGTGCAGATGACTAAGGAGCCTCAGGAAGTGGAACCATGAATCAGACAGCGCCTCCTTCCCTCTGACTCAAGGCTGAGCTCATGCGCCAGGTGGCGGTAAGAAGGCCTGGTCCTGGAGGTGATGAACTCCTCACCCGCCCACGGAAGCTGAGGAAAAACTTAGCCCCTTCATCTCCGCACCACAGCCTGGCTCTGTAATCAAACTCTAATCACTTTATATATGTTAATCTCATAATTGTGCACATTCCAAAAGAGTGCCCATTTCAAAGGTAAAGAAATTGAGGCACAGAAACTGTCAAGTGAAGTGTGTATCGCCAGCGCTTCCTGTGACAATGTGTTCTCTCCCTCCTGGCAAGCTGTGAGCAAGAATTACATAGGATCACAGCCATACCAGTTACAATAATAATCCCAAATTTCCTGTTTGGAATTTCTACCACAGTCTTTTGTCATTTCAGTCCAGATAAACTCTGTCAGTAGTAACAGAGGTTTTAAGTCTTATTTTGTTTATTGAATTCCCAAGCTTGGAGACTTGTACAGGCCAACTCAGTAAGAGAATGAGCAGGGCATTCCTGAGGGGTGCAGAACACCGGCTTCGGAGGCGGGCTTGCACGACCTGCGCTTCCTGGGTCTGCAAAACCGCCCCAGCGAAGCGGCAGCTACTAGGGGGAACCCAGAGCCGCTACCCCCTCAAAGCAACTTGGAGCCTCTGAACCGGCGCGGTGCCTGCAGTTCCGATTTCTACCGCTAGGTGGGCGCGGAGGGTTTTGCTGAAACACTAGGAAGCTTTCCACGGTAACCAACCGACGTTTTAAGACTCGGCTCCGCTGAACAAGATTTAGTAAGCTAAAAGAGTTGAGAGAACAATAAAAAGTTAGTTTATGGTTTAAAAAAAGTTATAGTTTATGGTACAAAACCGCATGTAATTATTTTGCAAAAATAATTTTTCTTTAGAGAATTAAATAATCTGATTTTGGGAAAATGAAAGTCTTTCAAATTGCTATAATTTGGTGCCTTTCTCACTAAGTTTTGATTGCTAGTAATTATTGCTGAATCTAATTTTGATTTTCCTTTTTCCTCTTTTTTTTTTTTTTTTTTTTTCTTCCTGCTAGGGTTTGATTCCTGAGCGTTCACACTGACACTGAGCTACATCCCCAGCTCCATTTTCACTTTATTTTGAGACAGGGCTTTGCTGTGTTGCCCAGGTTGAGTTTGCCTCAGCCTCCCAGAGGCCTGGTGGTAGGCGTGTACTACCACCTCCAGCGTACCTTTTTGATTTATTTTTTTTGAAGGGGGCGCTTTCACACCTACACACACACACACACACACACACACACACACACACACACACATTCCTGGGTTTTTTGTTTTTTGGGGGTTTTTTTTGTTTTGTTTTTGTTTTGTTTTTGCTTTTATTTCTCAGGAGTCTGGCTGCAAACGTGCTATAGCTAAGTCATATCCTCAAACTCCTGGAAAGACCGGACTTCCTTGGCCCACCTCAGTCTGGCACATTTACTCTGGTGAACACCTTCTTCAAGGAACAGACAGGTGACTCTTGGATTTGTGATAACTGCCCAAGAACTGCCTTTTGCCAATCAGGAATAATTTTTCCCAGAGACTCTTTTCCATTCTAATTCCTAAACTTTTGAAACCCAAAACCAAGACAAAACTGTATTTATTCTAATAAATATAAATGCTAAAAATATACCACCAACTAAATAGTTTAACATATTAGCTTACTTTAAAATATAAAATACAAATATTAAAACTATAAAATATTCCTAAATTAGCACCCTGCCTTTTTTTTAAAAATGCTTTTGCAAAATATCTAATGCTGTTTTCATTTCTCAGAGATTTAATCCTTTAGGCAAAATGTTGTGTAATCGCAATCTATCAGTTTTTAAAAGTACCTTTTCAAAGTTATTCAATTACCTCCCCTTTCAGGTTAAGTGATAACTAAAGGAGGCAGTGGGTGTTCATTAATGGTCCCTTTTGAAAGTGCTATTAGTTTCTGTAAATGTCTGACATCTATTTCCAGACTGGTGCTTGGAAAGGTGAGCTGTGCAAACTGCTCTAACCACTGAGATGGCTAATTAAAACCAAGGAGTCTTGCAGTGTATTCTTTAGATGCCCAGAAGCAGTGTTTAACCAATGATGTAAATGATGGTGTGTTTTTGAAATTAAGATTTAGTGCCTAGAGAGATGATTTGCAAGAAGTTACAGGTGGTGCCAACTGGAATTCTGCTGCCTTTCTCCAAGCTGTTGCTACATCAGGGGTGATGGTGTTGAACATTAGGGAAAGGGATGGGATTCACTGGCAATAAAAGGGTGAGGAAGAAGGACTGAGGTGCATGGGAACTGCCTAGCTGCTTAGAACCTTGGCACACTGTATCTGAGAGGTCTAAAATATATTTTTCAGGTAATGTCTCTCTGGAATCTCTGTGTGATACATTATTTTAAAATTAAAGATAAATATAAGATATTTGATGACATGTGCTATCATGTTTCTTCACTGTACAGTGTATTTTTATTTTTTCACCATTTTTTCTACTTCTACGTGGCCCAAGCTTGCTCTGTAGGGCCTGTTTCTTCTTACTTTTAATGAATAGGAAATTTCACCACTGTTTACATTTGTTCTGCTCATTTCTTTGTTCAGGACACAGAGAATCTAGAACTCACCTCTAGAAGGAGAGGCCAGCAAGCACCCTGGAGCCCAGGGACACTGTAGTTTGGCCAGCCAAGGGAGCGGCCTCACAGAGCAATGGGCAGCCAGCCTCTCAAGCCACGCTGCAGATGCCACAGCCTTGCCTCTAGGCTGTATCTTATCAGTGGGACAGATTTGTCTCTGCCAGTTTAAAAACGAAATAATCTGTCTATCATTACATTAAAGTTTGTGCCGCAACCCATTCAGCTCCTGAGGTTCTTGGGGTTAAGGACTGTGAGAGGATGAGAAAAATAAGACACAAAGCTGGGGTCAGTGGCGCCCTTACCTCCTGATGGGAGGAAAGGTACTGGCTCCTCACTGAAGGGGTGTTTATTTATACATTTTAGCAACTTAATGTCACATGACAGCCCATTGTCCTAACAACCCACTGTTCAGATTGTCTTGGGGCCAGGTGCTCTCTGGGCTGAAGCAGCTTCTTCACGTGGTTTGCCCCAGGTGCTCTTTGTTCTTGGAACGATCATGATCCAGCCTTGCAGTATGATCAGTCTCCAACTTCAATGGCTCCCAACAAGTTTGAGTTCTGTATGAACTAAGAAATGGTAAGAGATGAGTAGGAGATGGAGTTTAAATTATACTACTTTTCAGTGAAATCGTTTCTACTTAAAACATAGACAGTAGAGTGAAATCCTTTATGTTCAGACTTTTGTAAATGCTTTTATCTTATAAAAAGCCCAGGTCCTATGGTAGAGTGGCCTCTGGCGAAGAAGGAGATACCATTAATGATCCTGTCTTGGGATCCCCACCTGTCTCTCAGGGGATACGGGTTCCTCTCATCTGCTTAATGAAGACAACCACATCGGGAAGTCTCTTCAGTCTCTTCCTTCTAATCCTCAGGCCAGTAAATCCATCCCATCTCCTTCCAGTGACTCAGACACTGGACTTGTTTTAGTTATACTCATTGCTGAGACAAAATACCTGATGCCCAACATGAAAGAAGGAAAGGTTTATTTCTTACAGTTCCTGGAGGTTTCAGTCCATACTCAGTTGGCTCCAAGTGGCAGGCTGGTGTGGTGGGCTGCCATTCATGGCCAGCTGCAAACAGGCATGAACCAGCAAAAGAGAAAGATACACCTTCTTTCTGCTACTACATCATATCCTGGCTCCACTCCTACATGGGTGAAACACTCATACCACCAATCCAAGTGCTAGACAATGAATCCATCACAAATGCTAGATTTGGTCCAGTCCATAATTCATGAGGCTTGGAGGCCACTGACATAAATTATGACACCACTGGAACTTAGTGTCATGGAAGATGCCAATGTTCCTCAGCCCCCCCCCCCCCGTCATGCTTCTCAGACAGCCTTAAGCTGCTTTGGCTGCACAAAGATAGTTTCTGCCCCCCATCACATACCTGAAGTGATGTTTCTTACTCCTCTAATGCATAACTCACCCTGCCCCTGAGAGACACCACCAAAGCAAAGGGAACTACTCAAGTCCAGGTTCATTTTTCTGTTGCAGGTATCCAGGAATGCAAAGAATTGCTAGGTCAACTTTCAGATATCCAAAAAATTGACAAATTTGACCCTTGCTTTTGACTTATCATAGCAAGATGTTTAATTCATTTTGGCCACAAAGTGCTAAGAATTATGCAAGTGAGCAATATGCTTTAAGAGAAAAGAAAAGCACCTTGGAGAGTCTATTCTTCCTTCAACAGAACCAAACTGATAATATAATACTACTGAGGGACTAAAAATGATGTCTGATATGATGGCTGCTCTTACTATGGGAATGAAAAGGCATATTAAGAAATCTGTTAACTATGGTAAGGTGAACAGGGTCATACAGGCAAAGAGGAAAATCCTCTGATTAGTAGAAGTTTTTTGTAAACATAATAACATCATCTTCCAGAGAGGAAGAGACACTGGTGGGACATCATTAATTTGTAAATCAGCCTCAGTTAAGATAAATTACAAAAATATTAGAGGGTCACAGACACCTGTGACACCTGTGACCCAATTGCTAGACATGTTCTTTCTATGTTCAACAATCAAGATACAGAAGAGAGACAAAAGAGAAAGGATAAAATAGCTGTCACACATGGCAAAGCTTTAAACACACACAAATCACTGAAGGGGAAAGCCAAGCTTGGCCATGGAAAGAGTTCCTGTTTTAAGTGCAAGAATACTGGACCCTGAGCACACAACTGCATCAAGCTACCACCTGGGCCCTGCTTCAAGTATGAGGCAGCCAATGTGCCTGACTCATGGCAATGGAAGATTGATTGTCCCCACTGCCAAAGAGAGGACAGGCCAGCCAGAGCCCTCATTTCCAACTCTGATGAAAGTTGAGGAGAATCAAGGGGACCTATAATGCCTCTGTCCATGGACATAACCATTTCTTGTGAGTAACTCTAGTAATCTTAGACATCATGGATGAATCAATGGATTACTTACAGAAACAGAGGCAGCTCATTCCATTTTTATTTCCTTCTCTTTTATTTCCTCAAACACCTGGCAACCATTGCCAGGGTTGAAGAACCCTGAGTCAGAGATTCTTTACTCCTGATCTGACATGACACTTTGAAGGCCCAAGGTCTAGGAAATAGGTTTGAGGATAGTCATTGAATGAAAGACTTACTAAAGATATCAAGGGGCTATGAAATATCAATACAACTGCTAGATGTTACAAAGAATAACAACATAAAACTGACCTGAATCAATGAACAATTAGAAGATACTACAAAGAGACTGTTCATGAAGTAGAGGCAGAAAACTTCCTAAGCATGGAAAAAAGAATTTGACATACAGATAATTAAGGACATGGTATACAGAACTCCAATTAGCCATGATCAGGAAGGAAAGAAAAAACTACACAAAGGCATGTAAGAGTCAAGATTCCAGAAGTTCAACACAATAACAGAATATCAAAAGCTGTTAGAGGAAAGAAACAAATTACCTATAAAGGAAACCCCATTAGAATCACAACAAATTTCTCAATTCAAACTCCTTAGTAAAGGAGAGTTTGGAGTGAAGTATTTCAAGCCATAAAAGACAGCAACCTCCACCCTAGATTGATATACCTAGAAAAAAAATCCTTCAAAATGGATGGAGGAATAAGATACTCATGTGATAAAGAACAACTGAAGACATTTATGACCACCAAGCCAGCATTCAAAAATTTTTGAAGGGTAGTCTAGGAAACTACAATTAAGACCACAATTCTGTGAATTCAACAATAGAATGAACCCACTCACAAGGCAAGAAGTTATACAGAGGGAAAAGAAAGGGAATCCAAAGCAGGAAAATAATATGACAGTTCCAAATGATCACTGAAGCAAAACAACTCCCCTAGGGACTTCTGCTCAAAAGTGTAGAGTTAATAGTTCTCACTTGGACACTGATATTAGGAAATATCCAAGAAGATAAATATCTATACAGACTCCAAATATACCTTTCTCACACTGCATGTCCCTTCAGCAATCTGTAAAGAAGGATGCTTACTAGCAACCATCCATCTATAAAGCACGAACAGAAAATTCTACAACTCCTAGAGGCAGTCCACCTTCTCAAGAAGGTTGTAGTCATGCAGTGTAAAGGGCACCAAAGGGGCATGCCTAAAGTCTCCTTGGGATGACAAAAGGCTGATAGGGAAGCAAAAATGGCAGCCCTACAGCCTCTTAAGACTCCCCTTATTTCCAGTTCCTGAAGAGCAATTCTATCTAGTCTACACTCCTCAGAACACAAGTTGGTCTTCCAATGATCATGTTTGGCCCCTTTATCAAAGATAAGGTGGTTTAGTGTGTTTGTAGTTGTGGTTGTATCTTCTCTAGCTTTTTTATCTGTGTTTGACTTAATGCCTTGCAGTTTAATAATCATTTCTTAAAGATTTTTTTCTATAGCCTCTTCTATTTGTTTTTTTTTTTTTTCTTCACTTCGTTGCTATCATTTCCAAAAGTTCAAGTGGTTGACTTCCAATTTTCTCTAGCTCATTGTGCTCTGGACTTGTCCTGGGTTGGCTGCAGTATGGCGTTGTGTTTTGTTTCCTGTATCTGATCATTTTCTATTTTTTTATTTTAGTTTGTTTTCTGTGTTGGTGCTTGTAGATTTCTTAAGGTAGATAGCTTTAGCCAGATTTCTCCAGGAAATGTCTGTTTCCCAGGGATGCCTTTTAGATGTAAGTGGATCTTGTTCTTTGTGTTTGTCTATAGAACCTATCTTCCCAGTGTATTAAGGGGAAGAAGTTGCTATTTGGCCCAGTACTCAGTCCTTTGGTACTGACCTGCTGTGATAGTTATGATGCCATAAAATCACAGTGTTGTCATACAGAGAAGAAAAACTGCTTATGACATTCTGTTTAAAGTAGTACAGATCACAATAACAATATTCTCAAGCACAGCCTGACTGCTGACAATCTGTGTTAACATGATACCTTTAACCACAGAAGTAAATTCTATAGTTATATAACAAAATTCAGCATATACCAGAAATTTGCACGCAATGATTTCCCTCTTAATGGTATAATTTTAACCTGTTGCAGAGGTGGGGGTTAAGAGGTACAAGGGACAAGGTAGAGATAAATGAGGTCAAATGTAGTAAGTTCAAGAGCAGAGCATGGTCATCCAAGTTTTGGAAAACTGGAAGGCACAGGAGGAAAAATGCAAGAGGAAGCAAAGGAGTATTGAATTGAAGTTGAAAGAGAAGAGACAATATTTACTCACATGAATCTATTATAAAATCAAATAAAATACTTCAGGAAAGAGAGACGTAAGATGAGTAGAAAAAAACATAAGAAATCTAAGTTATGAAAGAAAAACTAAAAGATAGAGATAAGATAAAAAATCAAATCTAACCTCGAAAACACTAAACAAGACAAAACAAAACCAAAGACTCAACTAGACACAAAGAGGAAAACAAATCAAACAGAGAAAAATAACAGTAATAAAATATCTTTGGTGCCTATAGTTCTGTAGTTGGTTCAAGTCAGATCCCAGAACTGTGCTGTGTACTCGAGTCAAGTTTCCATTGGGATTTGTGCTGGGTATAGGGCTGATCTTGGTCTCTGGATATGGTAGCTGGGAATGGTTTTATGTTAGAGTTCTCCCTAAGCCCTTTGGTAAAAAGTGGTGGCCTGCCCACCTGCTTCTGTTCCACACGTGTCTGTGCCAAAGAACAACATTGGTCAGTTACCAGCTGCTGGCTTATATTCTCACTTTTTTTTTGGACATTTCCACACCACCAATCCTACCTGCCCATATGTGTGCCCTACCAGGGCCTTGCTGGATCTCTGGGAGCCTGCCTGAGCTGGGCCAGCAAGTGTACCTCCACTTGGGCCTTGCTGAATCACTGGAGTCCCACCTGGGCTGGGCTAGTGTGTGTGACCCCTCCCCATATATTGTTTAAGTGTATTTTGTATTCCTAGGCTGATTCTTATAAATTTCTTATGGTGAGTAGCTTTATTGCTGGTGCTTATAACCCTTAGAAAATGACTGCTTCTTAAAGATGTCTTCTAGGTGTAAATGGCTTTTGTGTTTTGAGTCTGTTGCAAGATTCTAACTCTTCTAATTACTGGAGATGACAAGTTGATGCTTACTTGGTCCAGCTCATGATTCTTTGGTACTGGCCAAAGAATCATTGTCAATGATTTTTAGGCAATCTTCATCCTGGTACACAAGTATAAACAATTTATTAGAACAATTGTGTCACCTTGACTAAAGTAATACAATCATTAATAACAATAGCATCAAACACAGCCTAGAAAATGACAAACTATGTTAACTATTAACCTTTAACCATAAGAACTAGATTTGTTGTTATTTAACAAAATTTAAAAGGAACCAAAAAATTATGCAGTAAATCTGCCCTCAATATGGTGATTTTAATCTCAGGGAAGAAAAATAAAGACAGAAGAGGAGGAGAAAGACAAGGAGGAGGAGGAGGAAAAGAAGAGGAAAAAGAAAAAGAACAAGAAGGAGGAGGAGGACAAGAGGAAAAAGAAAAAGAAAGAAGAGAGAAGAGGGGATTAATTAGAAGCAAGGCTGGAAGATAAAGGAAATTTACAAAAAACTTTTGAAAACTGATGAAGAAGACAGGAGGGAAGTAGAGGAGGAAAAAATAAAAATGAACATAAAAGAACATCAACAATGAAAAGACTAAGAACCATGTTCATGAGAAAGAACCAGGAGAAGGCCTGCCTCTGCCTACAGGGAGCCACTGCTGGAAGGCCCCTTCCTCTGTGCGCCCCTCTTGGGCAGAGATAACCAGGAGAAGGCCCGCCTAAAGGCCATTTCCTCCACATGCCCAGCACAGGCTGAAGAAGACAAACAGATCCACCTCTGCCCACTGTGCACTGCCACCAAAAGGCCACGTCCAACAGATGGGCAGTGTGGGCAGAGAGAACCAGCAGATCCACCGTCACCTTCAGGGAGCTGCACCAGAAGGCTCCTTCTTGCAGTCAGCAGGCAGAAGCAGGGACACTCAGCCAGGTAAGCCCTGGGCATCTGTAGGCTGCCAGTGGAGACCTTTGATTCCCTCAGACAACCATCATCCACTATCAGAATCAGACAAACACACCCCTGTCTGCCAATATTATGGGAGTCCCAGTACAGACACATTGGCTGAGAGAGGCAGTCCCACCTACATGCACCCCTGATCATCAGCAAAGCCCCAGTGTAGTTTCATAGCTCTGGAGAAATCCCCTCCCCACCCTACTTCCTCCCTGTAAATCTGGAATTAGAGGAACCTAAGTGCTTGTCCCATCCCCATACATTGCTTAGGGACAGCCAATGTGGAAAGTGGCTGGGACTCCACAACTAGCTTATTGGGAGGGACCCAGGAGAATGTCAAGATGAAGAAGCAAAAGGCAAACTCAGACCTCTAGCCCACACACAAGTCTGGGAGATACAGTCATGGAAGAAAATGTAAGTCACACACCTGAAATCTCTGAGAGGACAGCAACTGAAGTAAGGAAACAACTTCATGAGATTGTAAAAGCAGTCAAATTAAAAATAATGTCTCAGGTAAAAGAAATCACAAACATACTGAAAGAATTGTTCAACAAGTCCAAAGAAGACAGACAATAAAGAGTAGCATAGGAAAATGATGGAAACCTTGAATAAATGTAGAAAGGAACTACAGTGCATAAAACAGATTCAAAGAGAGATGCAGGAAATTAAAAACTCAATCAAAAGCTGGCAAAATTGCATGAAGGAAACTGAAGATAGACTTTTAAACATTGAAGACAGAGTTGCAACTAGTGATCATAAGAGGAAAGATCTCTTAAGAATAACACAGAATAAGGAAATAACCCAACAGCTACAAGATGATGCAAAGAAGCATAACTTAAGAGTGATAGGTGTAGGTGAAGAAGCAGGGGTCGACACAAATGAATTAAAAGGATATTCACAGAAGTTTAGAAGAAAACTTCTCAAACATGGGAAACAGATCTAACATGCAGATGAGTGAGGGATATAGGACTCCAACTAGCCATAACCAAAGTAAATCTACGCCAAGACATTTAATAATCAAGATCCCAGAAATTCAGCACAAAAACAGAATATTAAAAGCTGTTAGAGAAAAGAGACAGATCACCTATAAAGGAAAACCAATCAGAATCACAGAAGACTTGTCCACACAAACCATCAAGTCAAGAAGAATTTGGAGTGAGTTGTTCCAACCCTGAAAATTGTTTTAACTTCCAACCCAGATTAATCTACCCAGAAAAATTATCTTTCAAAATTGATGGAAAAATAAGATACTTCCATGATAAAGAACAACTGAAGGAATTCATGACTAAAAACCAATCCTACAGAGAGTGTTAAAGAAGAAAGAAAATTCATAGACTGAAAATCAAAGGAGAGAAAACAATTTTTCCATGTGACAGGTAACCAAAAAAAAAAAAAAAAGCAAGAGTAACTTGCCCATCAACTGCAGAATGGATAAGAAAGATATGGCATTTTCATGCAATGGAAAGCTACCCAGCTAGAAAACAGAATAATCTCAAGTTTCCTGTAGGTAAATAGACGCAACTGGGATCATGTTCATGGCTGAAACATTTTGAACTCACACGTATGAATCCCAGCATAATAAACAGAGGAGTTAATGGGATCCAAAAGCAAAATAGTTGATGTAAGAGCAAAGGGGAGGAAACACCTGGGAGGGAAAGGTGGAAACTACTGTCAATTTCTTATTGTCTTAACTTGAACTCTTGCATTGTTTACATAATTTTGTTAAGGATTGGCTTTGTTCTATCTTATTTTGTTAGATTTTATGCTGTCATATGGTAGAGGCAGATATTTTGAATATAGTGGGATATTATGGTAATCGTTTCCTATCATATTGTTTTAAAGTCTTATATTGCTTTCATTCATTGGTTTAATGGATTTTACTCTGTTTTGTTCAATTTTATTATGTTGTATGAACAGCTATTTTAAAGAAAACAAGACATTATGACAGCCATTGCTGATTTCCTGTCATCTTGTTTTGAAGTCCTACCATGCTTTTGTTCTTCTGTTTTGATTGGTTCTATCCTGTTGTGTTTTATTTTATTCTGTGAGATGGTATAACCAACTTTTTTGAGGAAAATGAGATATTATAGGAGCCATTGTTCATTTCCTGTTATTTGATTTTAAATGCTTTCATTCTTTTGAGTGGTTCTATGCTATTTTGTTGTTTGATATTATTGTGTGTGAAGGTATGCTACTGTTGTGTGTGAAGGTATGCTACAATACGGTAGCCACTGCTGATGACCAGTTGTCTTGTTGTGAAAGGCTGTGTTGCTTGTATTGCTCTGTTCTGATTTGCTTCTGTTCTCTTTTGTTTTATTCTCTTTAAATTAAAAAAATTTTTTAAAAGAACCATGTTCGCATTCATATAAAAACAAAGAAAAGAAATTTTAAAAATAAGAAAAAATGAACACTTCAAGGTATGTCTCTGTTACTACTCATAGACAATGTGGACAGACAGAGTCCAGATCCAAATTGATTAATACCAGTAAGCCAGAAGTAGCCTTATGGTAGGGTAGCAGATAATCCCAGAAAGCCTGAAGTTCCCCAAACTTCCCCTAAAGATCAGGTTGAGTTTTGGTTGTGAAGCTGTAACCCAATTTGTTCAACCTGTAATACCCATATGCCTCCTGCCTGCTTGAACTTATCTCCCTGCTGACTTGAACTCGGCTCCCTGATTTTCTGACTACTTGAGTTTGGCAGCCTCGCCCTGACACTGGGAGCCACTAGATGGAGCCAGCCCACAGCTGTTCTGAGTTCTGTGTGAATTGGCCCCATTCCAAGATGGCAACCAGTCAATCATTCGCTCCTAGGGATCATCTGAACCCAAAAAATTCACCATTCACTGCAGTTCACTGCATCCACCAATCCATTCCACTGGTGCATTTCTCCTTGGAGACCTCTGAGGTCACCAGCAGTCACCATGCCTCTGCAGGTTTGAGCCACCCCTTTCAAACAGTGAGTTCAGGCTCATGGAGAAAGCACTGCTTGCCTCCTCTTCTCTTCTTCTTCTGTCTCCCATGGGCTTGGGTTCTCACTTTGGATCCTTCTTGGGTCTTAGGGACCCACTTTCCTTCTTTTTCTCTTCCTCTCATTGCTGTGTTCTAACATCTGGAAACCAAATCTTGGAGAGGCTCTTTTGCTGATGCTCACCACTGATATCTTCACAGAAGTCCATTTGTTGATTTTTGATGGTACATCTTGTGCAATTAGGATTCTATTCAGGATGCCCTTGCCTATGCTTATGAAGTCAAGAATTTTTTCTATTTCAATTTTAAAAAGGTTGTTTCTATTTTACTATCTAGGTCAATGATCCATTATATATGAGCCTAGTTTCAACCTTCTACATGCAGATAGCCAGGTTTCCCAGTATCATGTAATACTATAACTGATTTGCTTGACAATAACAGGGTTGTATGGCAATCACTGCTCCACTGTAAGACAATGTTCAGATTGCTTTTGTGATGTTGACAACACTAGTGCATATATTTCTAGAGAATGGACGGTTTAGCTAATTTCAATGTATTCTCCTCTCTCAAATTAACCAAGGTAGTCAGATTTTGAGTCTGTGACAAAGGATTGTGGCCACCCCAATCTAAACACTGAAAAACAACTAAAAGAATCATTATACTAGCAACAAAGTCTTTATATTGTAATCCACAAACCTCAACACAAAACAAAAGAAACAAACAAAAAAGAGAAACCAAGGCAACAAAATGCCTCCTAAAACTTCCAATTCCCCTGAAGTCAATTCATGGCCACCAAAGCACAGAATAGCATAAGCCATATACCTAAATTACTTAACAGGATAACAGACAATGTTAGAAAACAGATCAAAGGGGTACACAGAGAGCATTTAAGTAAACAGACAATGTGAATAATAATAATAATCACAAAAGGATGCAGAAGCTTTCTGAAGTCACTAATAAAGAGCTAGATGAGCTTAAAAACATGAATGACCAGTTTGCCAAAGAACTAGAGTCCATGCTAAGGTTTCAGTCAGAAATTTAGTGGACTAAAAATCATATTGAAAATATGGGTTAGTGCCTGCCTCAAAAGCAGGCAGTCGTGAGTTCGATCCCTGGTACCGGTAAAAAACGAAAAAAGCCAAAAAAAGAAAAGAAAAGGAAATATGGGTTGGGGCTGGGGATTTAGCTTAG